AGACCATGTAACTGTCTAAATTGAACACTATTGCTTCAACAGTTGGTCCACATTCTTGTTCTTTCTGTCAACAGGAGCGAGCCCTGCTTCATCTGCCACCAGTTGAAAGGCAACTGCTAGGATCAAAAGCTTTTCAAGGCTTCAGTGTAATACAACAGCTGCCTTTTTATCTATCTTTTTTGATACAAGTAGCTGTTCTGCTTGTGGAACTTGTTCTCAGGATTACTGAAGCAAAGGGCACAAAAACCTGGTCCTAGTATCAGATTTTCTTCTTGGTGGAGTCAATGGCAAAGCCTAACTAAATTCAGACAGCTTCTTGACAGTCTGCAGATCATAAAAATTAGAAAAACCTTTATTTCTTAAAAACAAGCAAACAAATCAGCTCATTTCATCAGCATCCAGCTGCTTCAACATGAAACCTAGTTTACTTATTTTGGCAGTACCAGAACTCCAAGTTAGTCACGAATTAGTCTGGAAAAAACTATCATCATGTTCTCAGCAAAATAGAATAGTCGTAAGTTTTACGCTACACCCAAACAGCAATCATGGCTGTTGTGGTGACCCTGCACTGAGCCACAGGAATAGCAGAGAAAGGACGAGCAATGGAAAAATATCTACTACTTGCTGGCATGAAACAGAAGGCTCCTGTTTTCCTTTGAGCGTGCAAACGTCTTAGTGTTTATAAACATATGCCCACTATCTACAGTCTCTTCCTTCTTTGAACCTATCCTGTGGTGGAGTTATAGACAGGTACACATTTAATTTATTTAACGTAGTAATTGGAATTTCAAGCAGTTAGCAGAAAATTATCATGGTAACAATAAAGAAAACACTTTACCAGCCAGTAGCACATGCATAGTATTTACCACTGATATAGCTTGTGCTATCTTCTAATCACTAAGGTACTAAAAGAGCACCTTTCCTGATTCATGGTAAATATTTCTGTCCATCAGATAGGAACAAGATTAGGTTTATTCACTCTGAAACCACTGTTTTCCAAGCACTACTGTTATGACAAATGTATCTCACTGCAGCAAGCATGGGGATATACTTCTCTGGCTTGATAAAGGGGCTTTTCCTCATGCCTGCCCAAGGAAGCTCCGTCTTCCTCTTCTCCCTGCTCTGTGCACAGGGACTCAAGAAGTCACTTTCTTGGAAGTCCTATGTCAGTCTGAGTTATAAATTGGCTTAGTGCTCCTGAAATGTATTTGCTCCTGAAATGTATTTTAGCACAAACTAACACAAACTAAAATTACTGTCTTTTTGAACAGATAAGAAGGCTAATTTACTTATTTATTAAGGCAGAAAAAGACTCCACTCCTCTGTAAAGCTGAAAACAGACTTCTGCAGTATAACCAATTCAACACGCGTTCAGACATTGTCTGAAGAGAATTTTCTCCTGTTCTGCTGCCTCAGGGATTCCCTCCTCAGCTGCTGCTTTACTACAGGACTGAGCAAGGCCTCCAGCGATGTCTCTGCTGTGTTGACTCCTCAGGGAACACTCTTGCCTGTGCTTCATGTGCTGAGTTCAGAAAAACAGTGAAAGATCAGGGAACAGCCTTGGAGAGAGTCTTGTTTTTCCTCACTCTCTTGTCATTCCTTATAAATTCATGGAAGTCCTTTTATTTTATTTTTTTTTGTGCTTTTGGACTAGTTAATATGAAATACAAATGTCTCATGAAAAATTCTAGTTTTCATTGTCTTTCAATAGGCGGCATTTCCTGTTTTAGCTTGTTCTGAAGTTGCATGGAAGAAATGGGAACAGAGGGAAAAAGTGCTCATAGTAATTCCTGAAGAAAGGCGTTGATTGGGCTTTATGATACTACTTCCTGCAGTGTGTTGAGCCTTCATGCTCTTATTTTAGTAGCTATTTGGGGTTAATATTTTTTAAGAGTTCCTTGTATGGGTAACAGTAGTGAATCTCCATAAATCATATACAGGCCACTCTCCTGTCCTTAAAGTATACAGTTATATGTAAAAACACCCACATTCTATTTAATTCTTAATAGCTTTTTTATAAGATGTACATCTCTAAGCTCAAACAAATCTCTGATCATAAGCTTGGGGCATGCAATGCCAACACAGCTAAGTTTGCAGTGTAATCAAACTTATTCATTAAACAGAGAGGTGAAATTTGCTTTGCTTTGCAAACCTAACAGACTTAGATCTCTCATCTGCTACAGCCTCACCCTGCCACCCAGTTTGTGTACTCAGATTTTCTTCTGCAAAAGAACTTACCCTTCAGCAAATGAACAATGTACATCTAACAGGAAGGCATACAATTCAGTTCTTTAAAAGTAGTTGTGAGTATGTCAGAATAAGAAACATTTCTTCCAAAAGAGGTAACCATTGTAATGATTAAGCTTTTCTCCTGCCCACTGCGATTCTGTTAGGTTAATAAAAGAGATACCATTTGTTTATGTATTCTCAGTAGATACAGTAGGAAATCTTGTTTTCAAGTGTAGATTTTTTATTCTGTTCCTCAGACAAACTTGCCTTCTCTTTTTCCTTTGGAAATTTCCTCTGCACGTCTGTAATGAAACTGTATTTATGTATTTTACTGCAAAAGTATTTTCTTGTCTGTACGTATTTGTATTTATTTGTTTAGCGGCACACTGTAATATGGCATGTCTCTCCCGTGCTGTCTACTTTGCTACATACGAATTCAGCAGCCACAAAATCAGGCATTCTAGGAAACTGGACCTATCAACTTAGGAAAAATAGCTGAGATCAGTTTGGTTGCTGCTATGCTCTAATAAGAGACAGTCTTTTGCATCTTCCTTCTATTTGTTTGGTTTGGGAAGGGGAAGATCTGAGCAATGACAATGTCAGTTCAGCAAGTAGTGTTTTGTTTTATGCATGGCAAAATCAGAAGGTCAAGCCAGAGCAAGCAGAAGAGCTAGAGTAGATGTGGAGACATGAAACATCTGGCAGTGCAGAGCTGGTGAAGCCTTCACTCACTCCTGGGAATACTTCATGCCTCCAAGGTTGTCTGACTCCTCTGGCAATGCTACCTTCATCATTACAAATACGGTCATTCTTCTAAGTTTGTTTATATCATCATGAGTCTTAAAGGACACTATTAGCTTAAAAAGTACACTGCAGGCAGAAAATCTCTTCAGTTTTTCATTGTTAATTTTGCACTCTCTGAGTGCAACTGAGATACCTGTAAGAAACATCTGTTTTAATATATTTCTTTAGTATATAGTTGGGCTAGTGTTACAAACTGAAGCTCAAAACACCTGACCATGAGCAAATCATCTCCTGGCTGCTGACTTTTCACAGAAGAGGTAGCTGAGCAGCATATGTGGTGATGGAGGTGACACATCTGAAAAACAGCTGTTAATAAATGAACTACCTTGCTTGGAATAAAAATCCTGATTTGGTTACCGCAGGTGAAAGCTCCATAGTTAAGTTTGCAATGGCATAGTTTGTTCAAGGTCTGACATCTAAATGTAGAATTTGAGACCTGCAATAATCTAGAACTGCATGTTCTCCTGGGTCTTGGTAAATTGATATCTCTCTATTTTTCTATGTATTTTTTTCTTCCTTGATTTCTTGCTTTCTTCTTTCTTTCCCTCCCTCTCTCTCTTCCCACTTGCCTACTTTATTCTTTCATTCCTTCTTCCCTCCTGTGTAGGTCCTGTACATGTACATTATGATTATTAAAAATATTAGCATAAGCTGACCCATTTACAGCATCAAAGCTATATGAGGCACACAGTTAGCTTTCCATTTGAATTATGATTGTGGGAGAAAACAGTCCATGGGGATGCAAATAAATGGACAAATGCCTACATCAGCTCCATCAATCATTTTCTGTGCAAAGGCAGAGTGAAGCCCCACGTTGTTACTATACCTTTCCTGCAAAGGTTGTCCTGGGCAACCCAAAGGTGCTTATGTGCTACGGTCTTACATACTTATGGTATGTATGCAGTATATATATGTGTATACCTTATAAATATATGTATGCTAAGTCATGTGCTTATGGTATGTATAAATGCCTAGCCATGAATGAGGAAGGCTGGTACTTTCTGATGGATGAATGAACCAGGGTGCTGTACTCTTAGCAAGTTAAATCATATAAAAGAATATATTCTGCTATTTTGCTCTGGCTAAAGGTCTGGCTGAAAGGACCAGCCTGCCTATTAACTGTTCCCAGCCATTACTATGCTGACATTCAGAGTTATCATTCGCTCCATGTCCTAATTTTAACTGAAATTAAAAGGCGCAAGAGAGGACAAAGTTTTTGAGTACTCAAGAAACTTCAGAAAAAGAAACACTTGTAAAAAATATGAGTCAATATTTTCTCTTGAAGTTACTCTGCACAAAGTGTTTCAGGCTGCAAACAACCTGGAATTTAAGGGAGCTCTCATATGAACAGAAAACAGATCTGAGAAGAAGGATTACGCTACAAAATACAGACATGTCTACTCAGTCAGTCTGAAAGAAATAAAAGCTACTAGAATGTAATTCCAACCATTTTAAAACATGATTTTGCTTTTGCAAAAGCAGCCTTATCCATGAAACTATTGAAAGAACTTGTGTTCTTCCAGAAAGTTTAAGTGAAGAGATAGCCTGACACTGCAGAATAGGATCTCTGGAGACAAGCTCTTTTCCTTTCCTTTCACACATCTCCATAGTAAAATAATAGCCCTAATAATACTTGCATAAACACACTCTGGAGTATGTTGAGAATATGAATCCAATGACAGATATGCAACTATACTTTCTTTGAAGGGTTTTGGTAATTGAAAGTGACAGAATTTTAATCACAATATGGCTGGGGATGATTGAAAAGTAATAACATCCATGTCTTATGAGCTATATTTTGTCCTGTCGAAGTAAATGAAAGAGAATTTACAGAGGGAGGAGAACTGCTGGAGTTCACTTAAATTAGGAAACAGATTAAAGCAAACAAAGGTCTAATGTAGTGATTAGAAAGACTCGATCAAAATACTACATTGAGCTTTCTCTTCTCAGCTAAGGTCTGAACATACCAGCTCCTTCTTCTTCATGCACTCCATGAGGATAATGAAGAGGTGCTGTGCTTGTGTTCGGGTATACGTGAACGTCTTCTGGATGGTAACTAGCAATTGGTCCCTCAAGGACTCATTGATAAGTCTGAAATTAAAAAAAAAATACAAGAGAAAAAGCAAAATTATGTTACTAAAAAGGACAGTAGAAATGATGCTAATGGAAAAAGCTGTAAAATCAGTAGGAGTTAGATAGCAAAGCACTGAAAGTTGATCCAGAAGTTGGAATTGCAGAAAGCACTAGTGACAAACTTGAAAACATTGTTCTAGAGAAATATGTTGATCAGTATGTTGGGGCTTCTCATCCCGCAAGTTTTTATTTCAATTCCCAGTAGTTGCATGACATGAGGTTATTCAACCATGTGGGATTTCCTAATGAAAACAAGAACTACACTGTTTGCCTGGAATTTGAGGGACATTAACACATCTAGTTTATGTGCTGGACACTCATTTCTATCAGGGAATTAGCAGGACTTATAATTTGTTTTGTGGAACGAGGGTATTTCTGTTGTCAGTATTTTTGATTTTGGCTTTAGCAATAACCATTAACCAATTCCTCTAGCAATTCTGATATAAGGTGAAAAAAGGAATAGAGATTATTGTCCTGCTCCGAAACCACCAAAAGAAACCATTTTGGCTTTTGTTTATGCTGAACTTCCTGAAGTTTACAGAGTAAACATTTTAATGTGCCTCCTAAGTGCTAATGTTAGCACTTGCAAAAAGTGGGCCAACAGCAGAAAGGAGTGGAATATTAGTAACTGAACTACAGCCCTTGATATAAGGCAGTCTAATCATCAAGACTGTTCAAGAGGAAACACTGCTATTCTTAATGTCTTACAAATTAGTAGTTTCAATAATTTAGAACATGTATCCTTTGAAATGCGAAAACTTCTGCACTACAGCAGTTTTTCAAATTAGCTGAGTCAGAATGATTTAAAGGAGAAATCAATGTTAATCATTTGGGGATATGAAAATCAGTAAATGTTCATCAGTCATATAATAGAAGAAAAACACAGCTTTATGATTAAAGTCCTGCAGCAACTGAAAAAAAAAAGAAGAGAAGCAAGGCAGTATCCAAAAATCAGTGCTTACTTATGGCAGCTGCTTGGGGATAATAAAGACCAATGCTCTGTTTATTTTATACTACTGGAAAATATCACCTGAGCCTCTCTGGAGCAAGGAAGCCTGAATGAGACTGCAGGATATTCACAATCAAGCCTAATTTCAGGTATGAATCAAATACCTTGTTATCACACCTAGAGCAAACATATCCTCAGACAGGATAGTTAATGGGGATAGGAGAGAGGTATAGAAAAGGGATGGAGAGGAAAAAACATATATTGACATATCGGGTGCATATGTTTCTCCACACTGAATTGGACTGTGGGTGTAAATATCTTCAATAGGTTTCTACCCCACAAAGAAACCTGCAAACTTATGCCAATTTGCTAGGATTAAAGTGGCTTTTTAGAACACCCCACAGATCACTGTTCTTTCTGCATTCTTATGAACTACCCTTAAGGAGTTTCTCTCTGTATATCCACTTCTTATTGAAGAGAGGTATGGCCCCCACTGTACTTTCCCTGGAATGCTGGAAAAGCAACACACTGTTTTTCCAGCTCACTTGCTGTGTAAGCACTCATTTCCCCTAAATCACCAATTTTCTCATAAAAAAGGTGGCATATGATGAGTTTGACAGAAACTCCAAGCCCTCTTAGTGGGCACAGCAAAGGCAGCAAGAAATATAATTTGACCTACTGTTCAGAAGGAAGGATGCTGCAAGCACATGCAAATATGAAAGAAGTTGTCATAGTCCTTTGAAACCCAAGTTGCATCTAATGCATCTGTTTGCACAGGCAGAAATAGGGCTTCACTTCTCATTGAGGGAATTTTTTTGGAAAGACTGATGCCTTTAAGAGCATCCTGCATTTACAACCAGTGAA